TCGTCGTATCACCTACTCGGATCTCACATCTCGAAAAAAGGATCTCCTCGTCATATTTCGATCCAATATCTGTCAAAGTATGCACGCATTCCTTATCGATGATCGGATTTTCGCCAAGATTTTGCACTAATTCTTCGATATATATATATATATATATCATGGAGGATGTTCGACCCCCACCTTTCCATCCCGGACACCTTTTCCCTTCCTCCTTGCCTCGTGCTGGACCCACTCTTCCATCCCCCTCGGTATTCTTCTCGGTCGTAAAAGATCCTGTTCCTGTTGGTCGACCGTGTGCCACGTCCAAATCTCGGCCTTCGTCGAGGGGGAGGCGATTGCTTAACGACGCCAACCACCTGCCCCGGTGAAGAGGAACACGTGCTGCAGCTACGAGGCAGCTGCAACCCAACGACGACGCGCAGGAGACGGGACAGGCTTCCCCTATTTCCGAGGTGTTGAGAGTGTTTGGGAGCTTCGGGGATACAGATATCCGAAGCAGCACGAGGATGAGCGCGCGCCTCGCTTCTCGAACCTTCCGTCCACCGCTCCCCTTTACTATGGCCTCGTCGATTGCTCGTTTTGCACCATCGTTAGAGGAGGATCGGCAGAAAATTGGAGAACTGGATTCAACAAAAATTACGACAAGAAAAGCGAAACGCAATATATTGGAAATATTACATCCTCGATAATTTAACGGATAATTTAATGTAGTTCGTAATCTTGGAATTTTTAATTTAAGGTAATAATAATTCCAGCTTGCCTCGAAACAGATCTGGAAAAAGATCAGGACAGAGGAGCGCAACAGATGGTAGACGGAACGCGTGGCTGATGACGATACAAGTTTTCCTTTTCTTTTCCTATTCCCTTTCGATTCGTATTCCTCCCATTTGAAAATTTTCGTATTGGGGAAATTGTCGTCCGGTTACTTTATCCGCGATCAGTAAATTATGATTAATCTATTTTCGAGTTGGTTGTGCCGTAGACAAAGAATAAGTTCATTCATCGTCTCTTATCCCAAGTTGAAGAAAAATATTCAAGTGGCATTGATTTCGCGTGATCGAGGCGAAGTGATAACGATCCGGTCGAGGAAAACAGAAGGCTGTTCGAGAGGATAGGAGGAAGCGGAGGAAGAAGCAGCTGCCTCCGGGCACGTGGATCGAACAGCTACCTGACCTATTCCGTCCGCTATTTCGTCTTCTTTTTCGACGCTTTTCTTTCCCTCTTCTTTTCACGCACAACACGCGGTCGAATATTAACAAAGAGGATCTATCGTTTCGAGACCAGGTGTACCAAGAGACTCCACCAACTTGTTCTTTTGAATTCTCGATAATGGACAATCGTGTCCATTTATATTTCATTAACGAGCTTTTCGAGTTGAGAAGAATCGGTATTTTATCGCGCTTCTCGCCAACCGATATCAGGATTGAAAAATTCCTTCTTCCATTTTTCACGCGGGTTTCAAAATTTATCGTTTCATATTCCATATAAATTAAATCAATTCGATTGATTTCCTTACGGAGAAATATCCCTTCCCCGAGAGAGAGAGCGAGTCGGTTCTAGGAAATTTTTCGTTCTATCAATGAAATCGTAGGGAATTACAACCGGATATAGTAATATCGACGGACAAAGGTTCTCGTCGATTAACAATGCTAAGAAGAGCCGCACGGATGCGGATACAACGAAGCCCGCATATTAATAGCCGCCGGAAGTCCTCGGACATTTGTCCATTTTACGCTGCACGTATATAATACCTCGTCGTTTCGTATAACGCGATTCTTGACTTTATTATGTCAAGGACTGAGCCAACGTTGAAGGACAATTGCGAATGTAATTATTTCTAATTAATGATCCATTACGAGCGATAAGATCGCATACGAATGCAACGACGAGGAACGATCATGTATGTTAATGGGAAAATGTAAAAATAATCCGAGATCTAAGAAATGTGATAATTGATTTCTCGAAGATCAATTTTATTAGGGATATTATTAAAAATTTGAAATTTTTTAAATCGAAAATTTAGAATATTGTAAAAAATATTATTATCGTTTTAAAATTAATTTAAATATCTTATATTTTTTTAGTAATGTCTCTCGCTCGACTCGCTGCATTCGCGCCACGCGTATTTAAATTCCGAAGGTTGTGAGCGCACTCTGAAACTTTACTGGTGATGGATAAAACAGGGAACTGTACCGAGTCGGTAATATACTCGACGAAGATAATTCGATTTACGCGAATCAAACTCGAGCTTGCGTTATTAGATCGCGCTGAAATGAAGGGAAAATTGTAAATTGCAAGATAAATTTCCTTTAAGAAAGGAAATGTTTCGTTAAATAATAAACTCTTTCTCTATCTTTCTTACTTTGTCGTTAAAAAATTAATTTAATTAGAAGCAAACATGCGAGGATCCCGATATATCTCGGCACGATGCAGATATTAATATTTTCATTGAAAATGTTTATTCAACGACACGATAAAAGTGAATAATAACGAGAGAGAAAAATCTAATCTTTTTCTCAACGATAAATGTACAAACAATGTTATCTAGTGTATGCCAATTAAGAATTGTATTCATCATCAAGAGGACAAATTAACATCGTTGCAGTTTCATCTGCATTCTCGGAATTCAATTGTGCAATTCGCCGCTCTAGAGAGAAATCTTATACGTGACGTGTAACAAAACCGTAGGAGCGAGAGATAGAACCATTGTCCACCGTGTATAATTCGGTTTAACCGTCTCTACAATTTCAATTTACCGAGAAGAAACGCGAATGAAAAAAAAAAAAAAAAAACGATATTTTCGAAATAATAATCGTTCGCGCATTTAGAATACATCGTATACAGCAAAACAATTTCAACGATTCGATTATTAACCAAATAGACGAAGAAAACGAGCGACGATATCGAGTCGTTGGACTTCGTTGATCGATCGAGCCGATATCCGGAGGGGAAAAGTATGTTGAAAGAAAAAAATGAGGAAAAAATCCTCGCCTCGCCGAGATTTTTAACGATAGAATCGCGTGTACTCCAATATTTCCGAATAGGCCTCTGTCGAGGTCACCGACCACCACGCTGCAACGTTATCCATTCCGCGTTGGCAGGTTATCGATCCGTGCACAGGCGCCTTGACCGACCTCCGATGCATCGCCAAGTGCAAGTGCAAAAGCTCTCTCACCTTTCCGCTCTCGGACAGGAAGGATCTGGCGCGCGCATCGCGCTAGACAGATAATCGAACACCTTCCCGTACGTACGTATATACGTACGTACGAACTGTCGTCGAGCGTTTGTTGCACGCGCTATCTTTCTTTCTTAACTTTACACGTTGATTGATACACGTTCGTTGATATCGTTATATTTCCAGGCATTTCTTCTTTTTTTTTTTTTCAAGCTTTCGATATTTTTTTTTTTTTNTTTTTTTTTTTTACGTTATCTACGTACAGCAACACGTAAGAAAGTCGAACCGTCATAATTACGCGATATGCGCACGAAACACGAACGGACTTGATTAAATTGACGCCTCGACATACTTTCCTGCACTTTCGATCGGACTATTTGTTTCGTTCGATAACGTTGCTTTCATTGTCTAAACTTTCACCGGTATTAGGTCGTTGATTTTCGATAAAATTGTTTACATATAATAATCGTAGAAATTACTTTATAATAATTAACCATTCAATCCACAAGAAAATGTTAACGAATACAATCCCAATTTTAAGGCTTAATCATATTCCGAACAGTTGACGCAGGGTTATAATTAATTAATCTTGTAACATCGAAACCCGAACGGTTAATGCACATGTCACGCTAGATCACTTTACGCCGTTCCATTACGTTTCATTATCATTTTACCCGCCCCCCTAATCCCCTAATCCCTACAATAACTTGTACGCTCGTTTACTCTTACGCACAAAATCCCGCTCCACTATTTAACCTTGCGATAACAGGGTTAAATTCGGTAAATTCGAAGAATCACCGAGGGTAAAAGCATCTAGCATCATCGAGTGGGAAGCACGGGGACAGGGATATCGATTTCGAACCTCGACGTGGTTGGAAGCGCGGCGGTTCCAAGTCCAAGTACAAACGTTAACTACGGAAATTGTTTCGGTCGTCGGCCGCTACTTGAACACGTTTAATCTATCCTCTGTGCAGCGAACTCTTCGTGTCTATCGCGCCTTCGAGGTATGAACATAGGAAGCGTTCTCATTCTCTCTCTCTCTCCTACGTTCTACGATTCTCACGCGTCGTTCGTTCCAACCAAATTCCCTCCATTTTCCACGTTAAATTCTTTATTTTAATCGTCGATGATTTTTCGAGCACGATGAATTATTTGCAAAAGTGATTCCAAGTTTCCTCCAACTTTTTCACGGATAATTAAATTCGAATAATTGGAAGAAAATAAGAATGAAAGAATGACGCAAAGAGGCACGGAGATATGGAAATGGTTGGAAAGTTGGAACGAAGTTGGTCGGGCAAAGTTCGAATCGCGATCGCGTCAATTGTCGACAATTTGTCGCTTTGCGGCCTTCGTTGCACACTTGGAGAACTTGGAGCCGCTCGGTCGGCTATCGACCACGCGGTGAAGATCGATTCGTCGCGCTCAAGCAACGATTGAAGATTGAAATCTCGTTTTCATTGTGTCCATAAGACTTGTACACGCCCATAAGCTTCAAGGGAGCGAGCAACTGGAAAATGGAATTGCGCGCATATAAGTTAGAAACTTATAGCCTTTCGTAGAAGTAGAAACGATCACTCGTTTTTCTTTTCTTCGTAACGAACGGCCCCACCGACGAATTATTTAGATTACACGTCAATTGACACCAATTGACCGGCGTGTGGTTCGTCCACAATGTGAACCGGCCGAGACGAAGGCAAACGCCTCTTCCACCCATCCACACCCATCATCTATCTTCGTGACATTTCGTCAAACGTTAATCTTTCCCGGATTCCTTTTCCATCTTTTCCGGATTCGATCGCAATTATCACGCAATTAAAAAACTCACCACGGTCAGGCTGTCCAACTCGCCGAGCCATTCGTTCAAAAGTTGTTCCGGGTCTGTCTCGTTGTCGCTGTCCTCGCCTTCCTCCTCGTACCGCTCCATGATCCAGCTTACGACCGTAATCTAAGCGACTCTCCTTATCCTCTGCAAACACACAAACAAACTCAATTGGAATATGATCGAACGATTATGAGAAAAGGTTTTCGAAAACCTTCTTCTTCCAAACCATTCATATGCGTCCCCTGGCGGATGCATTTCAGCCAATAATTCCCACCTAAAACCACTTGGCGCAACCTGAAAGAAGCCCTTTACACCACCTTCGCTCCCATTCAACGGCGCAACGACACTCGGGCGCGATATACAATCGGAACCGCTTTGGACGAGGACGAGGAAAACGGGATTGGACGATTGGGGAGAGCGGGGACTCGAAATGGAATTCGAACCCCTGATTTCGCACCCCTCGAAAATCCCCGCTAATGGGCCCTGTGCGCCAACGACTCTTCCCTCATCCGACGCAAATTGCACCGATGAGCGACAGCCGTCCGAACGCGTGCGACTGGGCGCCTCTTCGCCACAGCGGCGGATACATCACGAAACGCGAGATACGTCGCAACGTAATGTACACAGAGCGTCTAGATTTTTTCCCGGACGCTTGTCTCTTTTTCGTAATTGCGTCATACGTCCTTATTCCGGATCTTTCGATATTTCACCGATGATATTTTATTTCATTAAATTTGGGCCGTTTTCATTAAATTTTCCACCGATCGGACGAGAAAGTGGAGGAAAAGTCTCGAGAACTGTCGTCGTGTCCCACTTTAGGACACGAGGCGGGCATGAAAAATGAAATACGAAGGAGGAAGCCGGTAGCATAAACGCGTGACGCTGACACACGAAGGCAAACATTGAAAAAAACAGGTTGTGGCGCCCAGAAGAGGAGCGTGACGCACTCGTCGCTCGTTAGTCAGCGTCTTCCTAGGGGCACACGAAGAAAGAAAACTCGGTAAAAAAAGTTTTTGAACTCCGGCCAAGTGGTTCATTGCCAAACTTAGCTCGCCGTTTCGAGGAACGTTCGACGCGCTCTTTCCTTTTATTCCCTTTCGCTGGCGAAAACCCTCTCGCGAATTCGACGCGTATCGACCTACTTCGAAGCGAGAAACCATTATTAACCCACTCTAGATTTTACAACTGGTAGAAACAACACGTTTTTACGACAGAATTGCAGAGGAGTTTCGTTCGAGTTTTCGTATTCGAACAAAGAAGAAAAAGAAAAAGGCAATGATTTTATCGACTTTTAACAGGAATCGAATGCAATGAATCAACGTGACGCATCCATGCGACAAATCCAGTTCCTGCAAACAAAAAAAATATATATATATATATATATATTTGTGTTTCGTTACGTCATGATACGTGCGATCACGATCCACTGTCACCTTGCGCACCATCGACACGTGTCGCGACATATTTGTAATAAGAAACACGACGCACCCTGATTTTCCGAATATTCAAAATTCGCGGGAAAGAATACGTTGTACGAATTCTTTCTGAACGATGCGGGGCAAAGTCTTGAAAGAGAAGGAAGAGAGAAAGAGTCTCTCTCTTTCGCGCGCGAAAGGGTTTCAACGCGCTTTCGTTGGCCGGGTTTTCAACGAATTTCCCGGCAGCATTGCGAATAACACGTTTCACGTGGTGACGAACGAAAGGGAAGGCCGGGCGCGGTGTTGGCGCGTCTCGTGACTTCGTGGTTCGCGCGTGATAATAAACACCGGAAGCAGGGAGGAAAAATGCCAGCAGGGAGAAAAACTTTCTTCTGTGGAGGATCAAAGTGTGCCTCGTTGCGAACGAGCGTGCAATCTCGGAGGGGAGGGGGAGGGAGAGAGGGAGGAAACTCAAAGCTTGGTCGTCGACCATGTTCGTGGAAACCCGCTAGTACACACATCTCTAGTGGAAACCTTACCCATTTCGGCGAAAAATAACTATAGAAAACGCGGTAGCGTTTTGTTACCCGTTTGCCTCATATTTTTCAACCGTCTAAGTGGCAGAGCTCTATTTGTACGTACTGGGAAAGAATTTTAAGCTCGACAGAGTGGAAAATACAAAGAATTTCTTTAGAATGCGAATTTCTTCTCGGGATGAGATGATTTTATCTCGAAAAAAGGGGGAAAAAAGAAAAGAAAAGAAAAGAATTCGAATTCGAAAGAGAATCGGAACGAGAATCGAGGATAGAGATTTTTAAGAAGAAGTTTTTTTTACGATTATATATATATATATATATATATATATATATATATATATATNTATTTCGTAGATTCAATATCAATAATTTTATTTCATTCCCGTCTTTTTTAAAATCTCTCGATAATGCGTGTGTTATTTGCCGGAGACAAAAGACGAGGAAGAAATCTCATCCTGTTAATACCGTCCAGTTTGTACAGAACAATTTGCAATAAAAAGTCAATGGACAACAACTACTCCATCTTCATTCTTCGAAGAAACGTATCCCCGAGAAATTCACGTCTCGGTTCATCGCTGACTAACTGTACGCCTTTTTACGAGGTATTATAGCAACAAGGTCAGCGAGTCAGCGTCACGGCAATCAATTTCCCCGCTTTAAGGAGCTACACGTCCGATGCAAATCGTGTCTTCCTTCGTCAAACATCCTCGATAAACGTCGTATCTAACCAATCCTTTTAAAAACTCATCGTCTACAACTTCTTTCGAAAGCTGGAATCGAACTTAATTATGCCCTCGAAAAAGAATAAAATCTCGAATTCTTTGATCGCTGATCGGATGCGGCCATCTTTCCTTTCCGCCAGAAGGATGGAAGACTTTGTTTCTTTTTCTCCCTCACCTTCTAAACGACCTTCTAAACGACACTTCGGATATCGATCGTGAAGGTGGGGCTCGTTAGCCACCAAGTGACTCCAAACTTCGAGGCTTAATTCTTCGAGGTTTAATTCTTGCGATGCGCAAAAATTCCACCGATTTTCACCGATCATCGAAAAATCGATGTCAAGAATTTTTACTCACTTCGAACGTATCCTCCTCCAGTCAAGTTGGAACGGCAAGGTAAAACCGATTGGATTTATACAACTCAATCGTCCTACTATTTCTAACCACTTCTATATATATATATATATGTATAGACTAACCCAGTTACATTCTACATTCTTCGTTCGAATTACACAGTAATAAGTGTAGCGATTATCTCTACCAATAGCAATAACAATTACAAATTCGCACGGTTCGACGCGAAAATAAATTTCATCAACGTCGTTGCGTACCGGCTGATACAGGGGACAGATATTTCCCGTTCGACGAGGCGAGAGAGAGAAGAAGAAGAAGGAAAGAGCGCGGTTGTGTACGGATATGCAAAGTTGGCGCGGAATAGCGGCGAATTAACCGCAGAAATCGATTTACTTGGGGCGGGGTTAAGTAACATTTTATGTAGGCTCGTTTTGCGCGAGGAGGAGAGGCGGCGTTGAGACCTCGATTGTAAATCAAGCGGAAGAGAGCCCACGCCGTGTCCCGCGCCCCACTTCCCGGCCTCTAATTAACGACCGATTAACGGAGCCGTGATAAATTCTTATTCCTTGCGGAGGACGCGCGTCGATCGACAACCCGCTTAAGGTTGCCATCCACCAACCGTTTTCTCGCAATCGACGGGAGGCGGTTTCGATATTTGCGCGAAAGTGAGACGTAGGAGAGGAATCCGATCGAATCTTTCTTCGAGACTCGACGAGATCGGTTAAAAGGAAAACTCTTTAAAAATATTTGATTGGAGAATTTTGAAACGCTCGAAAGGAGGGGAAAAGAGTTTCGTGAGAGGGAGGGGGAGGATCGGGTCAAATCGGCGAAAAATCGGAATTTATCGGATCTCGTGGCGCAATTACTCGAAATACCACGAACGATCCACGGAATCCGTTTGCAAAGCGAATGACAAATGGATCTGACGTAATTCACCGACGAGACGATCATTGAGATTCCATCCTAGTCGCCTTCTTCGCTCGCTTTTGTCTCTGAAATTTTCCGCGTTACGTAAACAAAACTGTTAAAAGGGCAATCGTCCGGGAATTTCAATCGGTTTCCCGACTCACGTTCGACACGTAATTCACGTTTATCGACGCATCGCTCTATTTTTGCCCCGAAAAAATCAATTCATCGAATCTAGCGATTCGAACGAATTAATAAAAAAAGAAAATGTACAAACGAAACAATGAAGAAAAAACAATGAAGAGTACGGAAATCTACAGTGAGAAATGCGTCAGCGTTGCACGCGGATACGTATCCAAGATCAGAGTTCGCCGCGAACAGTGACGATCCTGCATTTTTGATAATTCGATGAATCACGCGATACATTCAGCGATGCAGTCCGCAACGTGTATTCGGTATGCACACCAAGATATAACGTGGATACAACGTTAAATCGTCCACGAGTTAATAAACGAGGCCTTGCGATCCACGGTTTTATGTAATACAGCTTAGAGAAAAGAAAGGAGAAGAGGTATATTTTGTTCGCGCGACCGTGTCATCGATAAATATAAGCGCATCGTTACGTTATATACGTAAAGACTCGGGGAGGGGAGGGTGTTTCTCGCGTTCGGTAGCTATGGATATATCGTGCGAGGAATGAAAAATTAATTTCTAGCCTCTTTGCAGCCTGTTTCAATACTTTACACGCCACCTATTAGACCTTAAATACGAACGTTAAAAGCACGTAGAATGAAAACGTTATTGCGCGCAGCTTCTCTCTCTCTCTCTCTCTCTCTCTCGACACCGTATTGCTTCGTTATCGAGAATATCGACGAAGATGGGTCGATTAATTATCGTCGGGTAATTTATGATAAACTATCGGTAAAATTGAGTTTAACGCGCCACCAGACGCGAAACTCTTCGCCCGTCCGCTCGACTTTTCCCTTTCGATCTGTTCACTCGATATTCTTCCCTCGCGCGACGACGTTTAAACACAGCGATGAAACCAATGCCAATTCTAATAAAAAAAGAAAAAAGTAATAATTCAAGCATATACTCGATCAAAGCGATGGACAAACAAAACTTTAATACCTTTTCTTTTACCGCAAAGTTCGCAAAAAGAAAGGAAAAAAACACGCGACCTTTCGCTATCGAGTTGTTTTTTCGCGTATCGTATTTAATATTCAGAGGGGGGTATCCGCAGATAGCATCGTCGTATTTCAACCGAGGCTGCGCGGGAATCGTAAATAAGCAAAGTCTCGAATAACTAAATTGCACGTTGTAACAAAATTTAATTTACAACCGGCGTGTATAGGCAACAAGCCGGGGATAAAAGGCCACGTTGATTTTCTTTCGTTCGGTTCAAAGTGTATCTCCGTTGAAACGCAACGGCGTGACCCGTTGCGTTGAATGGCGAGGATTATTCAGAGGCGGCTCTCTCTCTCTCTCTCTCTCTCTCTCTCTCTTCGCGCGGCTGCCCGTCAAAACGAAACGCGGTATCGCATTCCGAACGAATGCTTGCAGTCCTGAGTCGCAGGACGTTGGTAATTACAGACACCGGAATGAGAGAAACGAGTTTATCGCGTAAAGCTGCCGTT